TTTTTTTATCTTTGAGAAATAGCTCAGAGATTTCAGCATGCAAGATATAGATCACACATTTTTATCTTTATCTTGATTGTGAACATGAGAATGGTTTAATAAAAACAAGAGTGCTGCCCAACTCTCCTTTTATCACAAAGTAATCTGATCTGCAACCAACCTGGTTGGATGTGAGATAAGGCCTCAGGGTAATAATTTAGTTTGTAATGAAGCCTGTAAAAATAGAAAGTAGTTCAGCTTAAAAGATGATCAGCGCTGTGATCTGCAGCATCAATTGGTGCATTTTTATTTGACTGTAACTGTATGACTGTGTCTGAGTGATGCAAGTCGATTTCATCTCAAGCAAAACAGCTTTGTGCAACTGTAGGTGTTTGTGGACTACTTATGCTTAACCCATATGCTCTTTTACTCACGCTGACAAAGAAAAGCATGTCTCATCCCTCTGTGAGGTAGGAGTATATAGTGCTCTATTTACACACACTTGGAAGCATAATTTGTCCAATATTTTTGTTCTGGGCAGTGTGCCCATTTCCAATATGCTAAGCACAGGGGATAAGAGTGTGATCACTGTGAGGACCCAGTTCTCTGTGCCAAGTCCTGTCACTCACTGCTTTGTTTTGTCTCAACATGTCCTTCTGATGTCAGTGTTAATCAGAAAAACTTTGGCTTTGAACTTAGAGAGCTAAGCCTGGGGAAAAAACCCCCCAAAACATTAGATCCAGGTTGTGTTTTATGAAAACTTCTTGGTCTGAGAAAACAAAATAAGTTATTTACAATCTAATCACTAAAATAGATAAAAATAGAAAGATTCAAGTATTACAGTTTTAAGATCCATGTGAAACAAATATGTGACTTGAGATTTTGGATGGCACAACTCTAAATTTAAAGGCTTGTAAAAAAAAAAGAAAAAAGAAAAAAACATTAAACCAAGGAATACACTGTGCCTTGCAGCCTGCTGTTAGTTTGGCAGTAAAAGCAGAGCAGACGCCTTGTAATTTATCCAGAACATTTGCCCCGCATAGTAACATTTTTATGCCTTTGCTTGCTGTCTGTCCTTTGTTTCCCCTCTATAGTTAAATGGCAAACACAGAACACCTGCTTTCAGTTGCAAGGGCTTATATGTCAGGATATGTTAGAAATGATCAGGACCCTCATTAGCTGCATGTCCATTGCAAATGTGTGGAAAATGTCCAGAAAACACAATTTTGTAATTGTGGTGTTTCCATTAATTAAGAAACGCAATTAAAATCACACGTGAATAAGTTTGTTCTTGCAGTAAGTAATTAAAAAACATGCTGCGCTGTTATTCTTCAGCTACTTCCTGTCTCCTTCTTTGTGATTTGTGCCAGTGGCAACATCTGGTTGTCGATCACGTGACTCATAATGCAATGTTTCTATTGCTGTACAAACCAACTGAGATGCGACCTCATCCTAGCGCCAAAACCTTTTCTTGAAAAACTAAAGCTTTTATTTTAATTGGCATTTGACGTTTATTTTCAAAATGTCAAATTGTGTAATTATATGGTCGATGGAAGTGCAGCTACTCTTAAAGACTCTCAGAAAGCTACTATCTTAGCTTCTTCTTCTAGGAACTGTAATTAGTTGTTACTCGGAACAAAGTTAGACACACACAAAAACAAGAACGCCCCAGTTAATAAATTATCAATAAATTGAAGTAACCTTTTTGATACAATTATAGGGTCCCACCACTACATTTCCATCAGATCGAAGTCTGGACCTTCGCTGAGCTATTGCGACATTTTGAGTGTTTACCTTTTCAGTCATTTTGTTGGAAAATTACTGCTGTATTGTGCATGTTGATGATCCAGTTCACTACTTATTTATTAGTTATTAGTCATTTCTTGATTATTTTGGTTTACATGCAAGTTTGTGATGGGCTTTGCCCCTCCAGGAACTGGACAATTTGCCATAATTACTCTACTTCAATGCATCTTACGAACATTTAACCCAAAAAGTTTGTGATATTAATCTTATCCGCACAGCATGACAAGTCCACCTTCCTTAGAATTGCTTAAAATAAATAAATGCAGACAATTTGAAGTAGCCTAGTTAAAAGTTGGACTTAAATAAGATTCAGATGCTGTGGCATCACTTTAAAGAGGTTATTTGGTTACTCTAAATTGTGATTAAATTAAATTAAATCTGGAAGAAGAGTGAGTCGTTACTAGTTATTGCCAACACTTGATTGCAGTTGTTGTTCCCAAAGATGGTGCATCCAGTTATTAAGTTTACAGAGCAATAACTCTTGGATAGCTTTTCCCTTTAATAAAATGAAATCATAATTTGGAAACCTTTTGTTAGCCTCCTTATAAAGAAGTTGTGGTCTGATAAAAGTAGGCACACTGAGTAATGTCTGATGTCACTTTCCATGCCCTAATTATAAGAGGATGCTGCTGTAGAAATCTTTATCTTGCATCATTCAAAGTGCTGCAAAAACCAGTGCCAATGAATATTGGTGGGTTTTCAATATGTTTTCAATATGTCAATACGTTGACCTTCTCCCTAGGTCAACATATTCCTAGTGAGTAGGAATATGTTGACCTCCATCTCTGGCACGAAATTGTTTATACAGTTATATGACAAGAGAATCTGTCACATCTGCCATTGTGTCCAAAGTCATGAATACTAATAGTGGATTTTATTATGAACCGTTTGGAGGTCTAGATGTAACCATCTGGTTGTAACTGATCATTTTCTTTCACTCTTCTAGAATATATATACACATTCTGGATTCAAGGATCTGGAGTACGAGTAAAGGAATAATGCTCAAAACTTTAATGCGTTATTGTTATTACTTGAATTCTGACAGATAGAAATGATGCGTGTGCCATGGCAACAGCGCACACGATGTCTGTGGATTGGACAGACTTTGAGAGGGAGCAGGTGTTGGCGGCTTTATCCATTAGCCAGGCATATCACCCCATATCCAAACACACACACACACGCGCATGCACACGCAGGCACACACACACACATGCACACGGACAAGACTCCTATGGGGCTCTCTCTGAGTCACCCTGGCCAAGCTTACTTCCTCTTGATGATGTAGTGTATTAGCATCCCAGAAAGAGCTCACCATAACAGATGATCTCACTCTCATTGAAAAAAGAAAAAGGTTGATGTGCTCTTCTAAAAATGTTATGATGCAACTCTAAGTGGTTTTTAATCTAACATTTTGAATTTAATTAACTGAATGTCAGCTAGAGGAGACTGCGTATTTTCCACACCCAAATTTTTATTTTTATTTTAGTTTTTTAGAAATAAAAAAGAAAAGAAAAAAAAGACCAACAAAAACCAGAACAAAATTATGAAGTGAAAGTAAAGTGATTCATGGTTATAGTTTTTTAAGAAATGAAAAATGGACAAACTTTAGCATCCTTTTTCAGGTCTCCTGAGTCAATACTTTGTAAAAGCACCATGTATTGCAGTTGCAGTTGTCTCTACCAGCTGTGCACATCTACAGATACATTTTCCCCATTTTTCCATGCAAAATACCACGACCTCAGTCAGATAAGGTGCAAACAGCAATTTCAAGTCTTGCCACAGATGTCCAGCTTGTTTTAGTGCTGGACTTTGACTGAGCCAATCTGAAATCAAAATATGCTTCATCTGTTTTGATCATATTTTCACCTGTTTTTCATTTTTATTTTTGTGGCCTTTTTATGCTTTGTCACTTGCTTTTATTTTGTATCACAGTCATGCCTTTGTGTCTTTCTCTGTCATTTGAGTGAAAGCAAAATCCATAAACATTAACATCTTTTTTGTTGTTGTTGTAAAGCCATTAAGCAGTATGAAATGTCTTGACAAGTAAAGTATGGCAGGCTGGCAATAGAAATTGAGTCATCTGGTCTTATATAAACTGAATGTTCAATGGTTTTAAGTTACAAACAGATGGACAACAAGCAGTGTACAGATTCATTGCAGCAGAACCTAATCACATCAGGGTCGTTGCTGTTGTTTCCCAATGTCATAAATATAGCAGCAACAATTTTTCTATTGACTTTGGCTCCACTCAACCTGCTGGTTCCTGAAGCTTTGAAGTCTCAGAGCACTTAGGACGGATCGGTTTTCAAACAGCCTTTCAGCCACCCCAGACATGAATGGAGACGTTTCAAAACAACATCAGAATGGAGTTAAACTCAAATTAATCTAAACACTAAATTGCATCCAGTGATTTCAATTCTGCACTCTTGGAAAGTATTCACAATAATGCATTACTTCTTTGATCTCAAATGTTAATTTGTATAATTGTTTAAAGACTTTATTGTTGATTTATTTGGGTAAAGATGGTCTGTTACTGTCACTTGCTTTTATGGGTGACATGCCAGGGGACATACCAAGACAGCAGAATTAGACCTTTTGAATATTATCTTGTATGACTATTGTTATTGGATTCCTTGCTCTGTTATTAGCTGTTTAAAGTATTGTTCTTGCTTGCATTTTGTAAAGAGAACAACAAAATGTATAAAGACAAAGGATAGAGTCATATTTTTGGCACTTTTTATTGCAAAGAGAAACAGGAAAGTAAAAATAGAAATAGGCTTTACTTGCACCATCTGTGCTTAGGACTCAAACTTGATTGAGCTGCAATGGGGTCTTTTGTTTACAACAAAAATATTGTCAAAAATAATGTGCCAAAGGAAAAAATAAATAAATAGCTTTAAAAAGTATCTGAAAGTGCCATATAAAGTCAAACTACTTTCCTTATTGCATCTAACTATAGCCAGGATTTAGAAATTGTACCTTGTGTAACACAGATGTAAAATTTCCTAAGCTGGTGTAAAGTGATCATAGTCAAACATGTTTTTGTTTTTGTTTGCCATCACTTCAGAAATATAAGGACAACTACTATATTCCTCCTGCAATCTGAAGACACTGCCATCTATTTAATCCTATCTGAAATTTATCTAACATGGGTTATCTGTTTTCTCTCCCTCTACCCTCTTTCTCTCTTTCTCCTGATTTGTCTTCCTCGCCAGAAGGATTTACCTCTGCCCCGAAAAAGTAGCAGGTAAGATCAACTTTCCTCTTCTTTGAGTTTGGCTGTGTAAAGTACATGGACGCTTTTAAAGTTTGTAAGATACATAAGGCATCTTCAAACAGTTTTTTTTTTTTTTTTTTTTGGTGTTGGCTAAATATTTCTGAGTTTGTGTTCCTGAGTTTCCTTTATAACAAAGGAAACTGAAAATTGTCACACAACTATTCATTACTGTGCTTTAGCTGTTGCTATAAATATATTCTTACTACTTACAGCATATCTCTAATTTCAAAATGTGAAGAAGCTGTGTGAGGTGTTAAGACAGAATGTGCTAATGTTGAGCCATGTCTCCTCAGCAGAATGGACATTTCCTGCTGTGTTTGCTTTTTCTTGCAGCATGCAACGTCACACTATTTATGAAGGAGAAAGGACAGAATTAATTGAGTTGATGTTTTGAGTTTTTAAAAATCCGGTCCCTTTTTTTCTGACTTGTGATGAAAAGCTTAATAGCCAAAGGGAGTTGATCGGTAGTAGCAAAGAAAACATGACAGTTTGTAAGAATCTTTAGAATTTGGACTTGACTAAATAATGTGCATGACTTTCTTTCTTTTTTGGGTTGATGAATTGCTCTTGCCAGTATACTTGCATGCATTAATATTTCAGTGTTTTTGTTATAGTCAGTATTTCTGATATTCATAAGATTGTGTCTTTATTCAGTGTACATCAGGTGAGTTCCATTTGTCAGATTGATCCAGTTTTAAGCTTGTTTTGAAGAGAACTGTTTCAACTGACTGCAAGTGTCAGTGGAGACGGTTCTATTTTGGGTGGCCTGACAAGGAGTCATTTAAACAAGATAATCTGGCTAGAATTGGAAAATCCATCAAACATAAACCTGACATAAAGTGATCCTTGTAGAAGAAACTGTTACAGTCTCTTTTTGAATTTCTCTTGCTATTTCCTAGTAAATTTTGATTTAATTGGATAAAAGTTTCTTACATCAAACCAACTTCCACATTCCATGCGAATGACTTGGACCTGTAATAGTCTATCATAGTTGTTGGACAACATGAATGTAATATTTTATCACAATATTTTGTGATATTTATTGTAAAAATGTGAAGATGAAAAAAAAAACTATTTACAACTTCTTTTCAGTCTCTTTTTGGTAACTATGACTACAAACAGAAATACTGCTTTTAAAAACACTCCCATTTATATTTACTGATGTTCTCATGGACACCAATAGAGAAAATAGCAATATATATATTTTGTGGATTTACTGCATCTTGTCCCTTTGTTCTATTTACATAAAAACTTTACAAGTTTTCTTCCTAAAAATTGCAATCTGTAATAATTTAACCTTGTGTAGTTGCACTCATTCACAGAATAGTGAAGTATGCATCATGTCCCCATCATCCATCATCAGTCAAAAAATAATCACGTTTACACTAAAGATTCAACAAAAAAGATAAAACAATTTATCTTTCAATCTTGGGCTGCACAGTGGTGCAGTTGGGAGCTCTGTTGCCTTGCAGCAAGAAGGTTCTGGGTTTGATTCCTGGCCCGGGGTCTTTCTGCATGGAGTTTGTATGAGTGGGTTCTCTCTGGCTTCCTGCCACAGTCCAAAAACATGACTGTCAGGTTAATTGGCCTCTCTAATTTGTCCTTAGGTGTGAGTGTGTGTGTGTGATTGGTTGTTTGTCCTGTGTGTCTCTGTGTTGCCCTGCGACAGACTGGCGACCTGTCCAGGGTGAACCCCGCCTCTTGCCCGGAACGATAGCTGGAGATAGGCACCAGCAACCCTCCTGACCCCTCTAAGGGACAAGGGTGTAAAGAAAATGCATGAATGGATCTTTTGATCTTTTTTGGTTGGTGATAGGCCAGTAAAACCATCGAAAGCAACAACTCTCCCAATTTTGAGTCTGAAAATGCTTAAGTCAATCGCATGTTTCCTATTGGTTCTTTTTTTAGTTCAACAATTCATCAGATGAATGTGTGGGACCTTTCCATTAATTTTCATCTAATGGAAATTTAACTATAAAATCCTTAAAAATCCCCTCAAGGAAAATTGTAAATCTGTATCAGCTAAATCCTGACTGCTGCATCTCCAGATGATTCCTTTGTGCTTCCCATTTTCAAACATTTGGCTTTTATTGAGTAGAAAGCAGAGAAGCTGAGCTACAAATGAAGACAAATAGCTTTTTTTTTTTCAGAGATCAGACTCTCTCCTGCTTTGTAATAGGAAGTCATGGTCAAGTGGGGTTATTGTACTCTGCCTGCCTTGTCTTTCAACTTCAGCATGTTTCAGCTTTGTGTGAGGCCTTTCACTTGGAGAGCTTCTCTGCCGCCCAATCTGTTGCACCAGTGAACTGTGCGATGAACAGTCAGCCGCGGGAGAGCTCTGCTTTCACCCCAATGGCCTTTCTGGATGAGGGTGGATCAGAGGGTTCAAGAAGAGAGGGTAATACAGCAGTGTTCATAGTGACCATGTGTGGTTTTTTTTTTTAAAGATTTTCCTGGTGTCAAAGAAATCACATTGATCAATATCTGTCAGCGAATAACAGAGAGGTTGTGTTAGTTTAGAGTAATTCCTTGACTCAAGAGAGGGAAGAAGTCTCTTAGTTGTGATTTTAACCTTTTGTCCTAGGTTCTCCTTTCAAGTGTCAACATTAAATCCGGTTATTGACATTCTGCAGCAGTTTTACAGTACATGTCCAATGTTTGTCTGAGAAAAATGGACAAATCTGGCTTCAATTAACACATTCATTCATTAAGTGATTAACATCAAAGCTTTGCAGTCTGTTTGTATGTATAATTTAGAAGGGAGTGTGATTAATTAGTTGAATGTAGTATTTAAGGAAGAAATCGTTTGTATTTGACAGCTGCAGCAGATAAACTGGGAAGTATTTGTTAAAAAGAAAAACCAGCTAGTTTTTAGTCTCTGTCCATGGTGCTGAAATACCATCTATTCTTTAAAAATAAATAAATAAATAAAAAAGCATCTATGAAATAGGCTTTTTCTCCCCCAATTCCTTTAATTGTGAGACTATTAAGCCTTTTTTCAGCTGAAGCATCAGTCTCTTCCTTAATTTAAATCACTAATTTGTTTTTACTGCTGCTCCTGCTGGCCAAGTTTGAGCTCACAAACAAAGACTGACCCGGTTTCACACACGCTCACATTATTAACTTCAAAGGAGATAAGATAACAAAATGCGCAAATATATGTGTATATATGTGATGGTTTGAAACAAATACAGTGCAAATGTGTGTATTTTTATTTGACAGAAAATCAGGAAATAGAGTCTCTGCTTGGCTTACTTCCAAACATCTATGTACCAGGACTATCTCAGTACATACATCTTCTGTCTGTATGTAGCTGTAACTATGAAAAAAAATGTTTTATTGACTGTTTCCCGTGTTTACATTTACAGACAAATTGGTGACTGATCAGGGATCTCAAGATGCATTAGGCAAAGAGTAACAGGCTTAAAAACTTCATGTTCTACTCTCAAAATCCTCCTGTATTATTGAAATAACCAGTGAGTCAGAAGGTAGTTTGTATAGGCAGCTGACAATCCTACAATGAGCTCGTAAGGAAAATTTTCCACATCAAATTCCAGTTGCATGTTCTTGTTGATGTTTAGCTTAAATAATTTTTATTGTTTTAATAGTTGATAATTGAAAACAATTTTTTTCTTCCCAGCATCTTTTAGCTATTCACTGCTCTCTGAAGCACAGCATTGAGTTCCTCTGAGGTGAACAAGCAAGCGCAACTGGAAACTAAAATGGTGCTGTCTCTTTAAAAACGGAAGCCAAACTAGCATCGCTGTGCAAAACTGCCCCATCAGTGTAATAAAATAAACGTGTGTACGGATACATGCTGAATTTGTCGCTCACAGTTTGGTCGCCTCCGCGTGTGCGCATGCTGGTGCGTGAAACTCATGTGTGTGCTCCTAATTGCAGTCAGTGGACAGGAGTGTGTGTGTGCGTTTTGTCTGTGACCTGTGACCTTTTGTGGTGGAGTGGCAGATGTCACAGCCAGACATGAGGGAGACTATAGAGCCGGAAGTTCACAATCAGCTCCCCCCCCCAGCCTCCCTCCTCTACGTGGTGCTGCTCCTGCTGTTGTATTTTTCTCATTAAGTCCTGCTATGGGTCAAGTTTTGTGTTGTGAGTTTAACTGTTATGGAAAAAGACAGCCAGGACAACAAATACGAGATTTAATGTTTCAGAAAAGCATTGACGCTCAGGCACACTAGTCCCATCTTCTATATGATATCATGATCCTCATCACCGTCTCTGACCTCCCACTGTGCTACAGTGATATCACCCCTTCCCTCCCTCCGCCCTCCTCTTCTCTCCCATGTATATTTCATCCATCCGGACTCCCACATTAGAGACGGCATCCATTATTGAATTACTCCCTTCAGCACTACTGTGCAACTGTCACCCGGCGTCAGCTTTAACATTTGGTGGATTGGTTTCAAAGGGACAGAGGGAATATGTGCACACATACAGCAGAGTGACATCTCTCTCGGCCGGACACTGAAGAGGGACTCCGGGGTTTACAGACAATACCTGGATTCATGCAGGGTGCCAACTTGCTTCTTAGAAAAATTTTAACTATGTTTGTGTGAAACTGTGCACTGTTTTTAGCTGCTGGTGTATTTCTATTAGCGCTGTCAGTCGATTAAAAAGTGTAATCAGATTAATCACTAGCGCTGTGAATAATCACAGTTATTCACCGCATTTAACTTTGCATAGTGTGTCATAAAGTACATTTTGCCACTGAGCACACCAGTGTGACTCTCCTCGCTCTTTTTTTGCATCTCTATATTGTTGAGGGCAATACAAAACCATGTAATTTGCTGCTGCAATCTAGGTAACGCGTTAAAGTTTTTAGATTAATCGCATGCTTTAACATGTTAACGTGACAGCCCTAATTTCTAAGATTATAAATTGCTGTCTTGATATTCTACCAGTTGCTCCTTATTGTAGGACTGAAAATAAACTTAGTGGAGTTCATGCTTTTG